CCCCCCAAAATCCCAATTGGCCAATGGGAACCTGGGAAGGGTGGAGGTTTTGGGGTTTTATAACCCAAAATAAGCCCCCCAAAATCCCCCCCAAAATCCCCCCCAAAATCCCAAAATCGCTACTGACCAATGGGAACCTGGGAAGGGAGGAAGTTTGGGGTTTATAACCCAAAATCCCCCCAAAATCCCAAAATCGCTATTGGCCAATGGGAACCCAGGAGAGGAGGAGGTTTTGGGGTTTTATAACCCAAAATCCCCCCAAAATCCCAAAATCCAGCTGGCCAATGGGAACCTGGGAGGGGACGGGACAGGAGATGCCACCCCCAAAAATACCCCAAAAAACCTCAAATCCCCCCAAAACCCCTCTGGCCAATGGGAACCTGGGAAGGGATGGGACAGGAGGTGTCACCCCCCAAAAAAACCCAAAATCCCCCCAAAATCCCAAAATCGCTATTGGCCAATGGGAACCTGGGAGGGGAGGGGGTTTTGGGGTTTTATAACCCAAAATAAGCCCCCAAAATCCCCCCAAAATCCCAAAATCCAGCTGGCCAATGGGAACATGGGAGGGGATGGGACGGGAGATGTCACCCCCAAAAAAACCCCAAATCCCCCCCAAAGCCCAGCTGGCCAATGGGAACTCAGGAGGGGAGGAGGTTTTGGGGTTTTATAACCCAAAATCCCCCCAAAACCCCCCAAAATCCCAAAGTGCCAATTGGCCAATGGGAACCTTGTGAGGGGATGGGACAGGAGGTGTCACCCCCAAAAAAACCCAAAATTCCCCCCAAAATCCCAAAATTGCTATTGGCCAATGGGAACCCGGGAGGGGAGGAGGTTTTGGGGTTTTATAACCCAAAATCCCCCCAAAACCCCCCAAAATCCCAAAGTGCCAATTGGCCAATGGGAACCTGGGAGGGGAAGAGGTTTTGGGATTTTATAACCCAAAATTCCCCCAAAACCCCCCAAAATCCCAAAATTGCTATTGGCCAATAGGAACCCAAGAGGGGAGAAAGTTTTGGGGTTTTATAACCCAAAATAAGCCCCCAAAAACCCCCAAATCCCCCCCAAAATCCCAAAATCGCTATTGGCCAATGGGAACCTGGGAGGGGATGGGACAGGAGATGTCACCCCCAAAAAAACCCCAAATCCCCCCAAAATCCCAAAATCCCTACTGACCCATGGGAACCTGGGAAGGGAGGAAGTTTGGGGTTTATAACCCAAAATAAGCCCCCAAAAACCCCCAA